TTTGCTTGTTCCCATATCTCACAAGCAGTTCCAACCCACATAAAAGTCTTCCTTACTTGTGGCAGCATGGAAACCAAGAGCCATGACATCACCATACTATTCTCTTGGTTCCACCTATCATATTCAGCACTTCCGTTCTTCGGTTCCTTCACTCTCCCATTGATGTATCCTATTTTCTCCTTAGTAGTGATGTAGAGTTTTATTCCCCTAGACCACTCAAGGTAGTTCAAACCATCAAAGGGAATAACAACCATGGGGAAATTCATATCCATTCCTCCACTCACTCCATTGTGGCTCCCTGAAATCTCTGAAGTAGCAGAATTCTTAGACGACATGGTAAACACAAGGTTTTTTGATCTAAACTCTCAACTTAGRATCCCTCCTTATATCGACAAAAGCTCCACACACAACAATTCAGTTCTAGACTTAATCTGAGCACAAAAAACAGCAYCAATTTCCAAAGAAGAACTATGACGAGACTGATTTTTAGATCTGCATGAAGAACAGTTCCAACCTACTGGTTTTCCAGTAAGTTCCACCACAGCATTAACCAATAAGAGAGATCCTAACACACATGAAATCAGACTAATGAGCAGAGAAAACAGGTCATTTATGACCTACAGTCACCTTTTCATAGGTACAGGATCGAATGATCCAACAAATAAAAAAAAATAACCCTCACAAAAGTCTGCCGACATTCAGTGGTTTGGATTCATTTATTCTCCACTTGGTACACGACCAAGGAAAGAAATAAAAGAAGAAAGAAAACTTTAGGGTTGTACCTGTTGCAGATCTGGTTTGATCAGCCCAGATTCAGCAACTTGAAGAGAAAAAACTTGGTCGCCCAGATTCAACAGCCTTGCTCTGATACCATCTTGGCAATAAATCCGATTGAAATACGAGGAAGTAGAGAAGAGAAGGGAAGAAGAGAGAAAAGAAGAAGAAAGGAAGAAGAAAAGGTTTGGAGCAATACAACAGTGCTAGCGGCGCCAGCTTCTATTATATTATATAGGGCGGCAAAAATAAGAAGGGAAAATACTCTTGTGCCCCTGCTGGAAGTGAGTACTACAATAACAGAAATAACAGAAAATAAAAAACGCTTTAACTTGCCAAACAGACCCTAACACAAATAACTAAATTATTTCAACAGGAGGGGTAGAATGGATATGGACCTAACATTTGGCTTTTTTTTTTTGGCACAATGTGCCCGCTTTCAGACTTGAACCTGCTTTTTCATGCTTGTCAGCCCAAGCAATGGCCCCTAACTGAATTTACTTAATTTCCACAAATAAAAACTTGATTTAGTATTTGTTTTGATAGTATAGAAAAAAATGCATATTTGGCAGTAAAATCTTACATGGTAGTTTTTCATATAAAAGATGTTTAGGTTTGCATGATAAATAAATGAGATAAAAAAGCATGTTGAGTAGAGCAATTATTCCTTCATGACTTCTTATTTTTGCTTTTTGGTACAAATTTATTTGTTGCAGATCTACTCGGAGATAATTATGATGCGCAGAGAATCATCTAACCCAGAATTGCAGAATGTTGATAAGATGCACTTTTTATTGGCCACTGTATATGAATCTGCTCGTCTTCTGCCAGCAGGACCGCTGCTTCAAAGATGTTCTCTGAAACACGGTACTAATTTAACAAGGGTGAATGGACATTCTTCACCCATTTATGGAGTTTACTTCATTGCATCATGGAATTGTTATTGGTTGAATTGAAAGTTTCATGAAGTAACATCTCGTGCAAAATTTCCTTTGAATGTTCTTTTCTGTTTTCCACTTCAAGGACACTTATACTGAGGATGCTGTTCGAGTTCGTTCTTATGAACTGAAATCTTACCATTTCCATATCAATAAAAAAAACCTTTTCCATCATTATGATGATAATTTCTGACCCTCTGTGTCCTCCATATTTCATCCTTAAAGTGTAGAACTTCTGTTCTTCCCCCTTTCCTCTCTAACTACTTTTAGGATCCTAGTTCAAGCTTGTACCATACAATCAGTCAATTTTATCTACTTGAAACGTGTGGAATTAACTTCTCATCTCTCTTTGATATGGAGAATGGTTGAAAAACTTGGGTTTTGATACTGAATTCTTAGAGTCGAGTTCTTCCTAGGCTTATTATCTAGCTTAAAAGGTCAACTGACAAGTTTAAGCTTAGAAAGTCTTTTGGGTCTCATTGTCACTCAGTAATGTACCAATGTTTTTAAACAATAGCTGGTGTTTTTTTTTTTTTGTTTTTTGTTTTCATTTTCGTTTTTTTTTGAGAAAGAATAAGTTCAAATATTCTAGTGCTTGGTGCTCCATCCCATCCAGATGGTCCGAATAACTACTGCTAATCTTCACACTTTCTTCCAAGGACTCCACTACAGTCCTAGGGAAAACCCAATTTAAGGAATTAAGAAAGGCCAGATATTCCTGCTGCAAGGATAGTGAATTAAAGTGGTCAGCAGACTTCCCTTGGTAGTTGCAGAATGTACAGCCAGTGTTAGGGATGTCTGTCTATTTTTATAAGATTGTCTTTTGCCAGACAATTGTTTAGCATAGTCATCGAAACTATAGTCTTTGAAGGTATACTGATTTTGAACAACCTTACAAGGAAAGCTCCTCCTACTAGAGATAACCATTTCTCTAACCAGAGACTTGATGGAGAAGGTGCCTAACTTCTTCCAATTCCAGAACAACTTATTAGGCATACCAGCATGGGGCGAATAACTCTGAAGCTTAGTAAAAGGGTTCCCACCTTTTCAAGTTCCCAGTTATGGACATTTACCATTTTACCCTAAGTTTGGGAACCCTTATACCTTGTCGTTCACCATCTCATAGCACCTTAACTGAGAGTGGCCACTAAGCAAAAAAGTTCCTAGGTATGTATCCAGTTTACCCCTTCCAAGACCTAAGATAGCTGACATTGGGTAATTGCCTTCTGTAAATGTTGGGTGGGCTCCTGGTCATAGCACCTTACCTGAGAGTGGCCACTAAGCAAAAAAGTTCCTAGGTATGTATCCAGTTTACCCCTTCCAAGACCTAAGATAGCTGACATTGGGTAATTGCCTTCTGTAAATGTTGGGTGGGCTCCTGGTTGGAAAGGAATTGAGAAATCCTTCTACTCTTTCATTTGGGGTAAATGATATAAGCCAAGTGATGGTTCATATTTGGAAACTGGATAGTTCTCTGGTTATCTGTTTGATTGGCGGTCTAGTTAGGTATTACAGCACATTGGGTATTGAGGCAGACTCAGGCAGAGTGGCATTTCATTTTGTTAAACCATCGAAGATGGAAGACCAAACTCCAAAGTTCTAATATTGTTAAAACCATTACTGTCTTCCCTTTTTCTCATCTCTTCTTAACATTTAGTGCCTACAAGCCATGATTCATGAACAAGCTACAAATATATAATATTGATAAAAGAACTGCAAATATATAATAAAAAACAAACAGTAGCTTCAGTTCTAGTTTTTCTGAAAAAAACAAAAAGTAGCTTCACTTATAGTTTATCGAACCACAATGTGTCTTTCCTTTGGTTTTGTTTGATTACCAACCACATACTAGCATTGTGGCTGTCTGTTACCCCTGTGTTTTGTAATCAGAACATGTTTATGATGCTTAATTCTGCCAATCTATGGGAGCTTTGAGCAGTCCCTTTGGGGCTTCTTGTATCAAGAGCTTCCCTTTAATTGTATGTTTCTTTCATCTTGAATAAATTTACCTTACCTTTTTTTTTTCAAAAAAAAAAAAAATACTAGTATCAATTTCTGCCATAGTTGTCGAGGTGTAAAGGTGATTGTAGGCAGCAATGGAGCAGCTTGTTGCATACTCATTTAGGCACCTAGGTGTTGCCTAGGAGAAGGCATTTTATTATGATTCATCATCATCATCATCCAACCCTTATCCCAACTATAAGTGGTTAGCATATAGTATTTTACAATGTAAAAACTAAATTATCGGTTGTTAGTTCCTTGATTTTATATACCAATCAGCATGCACTAAATCAGAGAAGCAATAATGCTCTTTACTAATGACATTTACTTTCCTATCAAAACATGGCAAATTATCATATCTAAAAGATTAATCATTGTAAATCTACTAATTTCAATATTTCAAATATCACACTGTAACGAAATAATTATTTGATAGAGCAATTTTATGTCAAATTAGCAACTTAAGAAAGCTATAATTTTATATTAATAAAATTTTAGATAGAGAATACTATAAAGAGAAAAAGAACAAGGAATGGAGCCCCTATTTTTAATGTAAGAGTGTTGTTTTAGAAAATAGAACAAACCTCTTTTATTTTTCCTCTCTCTCTCTCTCTTTCTCACTGTCTTTATTGTGGACCTTGAAGTTTTATTAATAATGGTAAAAGATATTAGGCGCAACGAGGAATGGCCATTTTGTTGGGCTAGCTTTCTCTACCTAACCCTACCCATATTTGCCTATATATCTCTACATACAACTTTCATTGGTTACTGCACAAAATAGCTGTTCCCTAATTACCCCTCTTGAGCAAATGAGTCAGTCAAATATTTTGCTGATCTAGGTACCCAAACAACTGAAACAACGAATTGCCTTGCTAAATGCTTAGTTTCCCTTAGAGCCTGTGTTGCCATGTTTCTTTGTTTTTTTCCTTTAAACAGCCCGCAACAGTCTTGTAATCTCCTGCACCACTAGGTTTCTCATGTTTAGCCCTTTTTCCCAACCCAGGCCCCTATAAAACAGCCAAGGCCTCAGCCCTTTAGAATCCCCATGGCCTATGGAGCCTGAATATTTTGCAATTACCTCCCCTTGGCAGTCCCTAAATACACCTCCAATACCTGAAATGCCTGGGTTGCCTAAGCAGCATCCACCAAAATTGAACTTCACTTCATCTACAGCTGGTGGTTTAAAAACCTTTGTGTAATTTTCCTTGATGGTGAAGAATGAGCTACAAAATGCATCCTCTTAGGATATTATCCATTGTAATCTGCTAACAAATTTTATGTTTTAATCCAGTGTACCACTTATTGCAATGTTTTCTATGATTGCTTCCTTGGACATTATCCTCTCATTAAGTATTCTTTCATTATCCTCTTCCCAAAAGAGTCCAAAAGATACCATCCAAGTGCATCTCCACAAAATCTTTCCCTTTTTCTTTGGTGGGTTAAGGAAAGAAGTCAAGAAAATGCTCCTCACATATCCTAGTGGGGACCATCTACAACCAAAGAGAGTGAGAAATTATTCCTTATGCTGGAGGCGAATAGGCAGGAAATTAGCAGATGGGATGTGAATTTCCCACTTGCATTACAAGGAAAGCACTTGTGAGGTGAAAGACACTGATTAGACCTCCTTTTCTGCAATATCTCACAGGTGTTGATTTTCATATTATATACCTCCTGGCAAAAAAGTCTAGATGGAGCTAACAAGAAATGGATGTACAGGAAGTGACTGAAAGGCCAAGTCAAGAAGGAAGCGCAAGAAAAAGTGCCCAAGGGAGAAAGGGATCAAATTCTTGATTTGGGTTTTGAGGGATCTAGAAGGTTCCCTCTAGAAGGTTAAGAAGAAGTTCATCGATTTGAGCATGTTCAAACTCCCTCAAACCTTTCCCAAATCCCAGATCCCAAGAATGGCCAGTAATTGAGGGAGAAGCCAAATGGAAAATAGGCAAAAGCTTGTTCTGGGATATCTGAGTAAATGGTATGAAACTGATCCTTAAGCGGTCTATCCCTCCACCGAAGATCCTCTCAGAACTTATCTGGCAATAGTGTCATAAGAATATGCTGAAAGAAGAGATGACATAAGAAAGACATGGCTTTCCAAGTAGAGGAGAGCAATGCCCTATTAGCCACCTCACCATCCCAATCATTAACATCCCAGGCATGTATGCTAGCAATAACTTTGTGCAACATATTATTTTTGCTCCAGAGGAAATTTCTAAAGCCACTTAGCAAGTGAAGCAAAATTCCTTTGCACCACCCTTTCCTACTCCTAACCCTCCTTTTTTTTTCTATCTTTGCACATTGTTTCCTAGTTGATGAGATAATCTCTCTAGGACTCTCCAGGCTCTCATAGGAAGTCCCTCATTAACTTCTCTAGCCTTTTAGCAACTGATACTGGTACCCAGTTAAAGACTGACAGGTAGTATTAGGAAGACAATTGTGTGGGACCTATCTGTACTAACAGATGGAGGCTAATGGCACAATATTCAAATGACTCAATAGGTAATTATAGAGGACTCTGTGTGGCCAGTGGCCCATTTAGGAGGTATGGAGAAAAATATGGTGGCTAGGTCTTGTGAGGAAAGTAAGCTGTATTAGGAATTAAGGAGAAAGACATCGGTGGGTCCCCAAGAAGTTTAATCATCATCGACATCACCTTCTTGGTTTCTGGTTACTGTTGTTGTTGTTATTGTTAGGACAGTATACCCCTTCCAAGACCCCAGAATAACTGGGACCAACATTTGGTAATGGCCTAGTATTATTATTCTTTCACCTGGTAATTGTGGTAGAGTTGGGATTAGTTTAAAAATACATTCTCATATGGAGCCTGGGAAAAATTAACTTTAACTTCGTTTGATTTATTCTGATAAGCAGATAACATTCAAATGGATCCTAACATTGAGCATCCAATTATAGAAATTTTTTCATTGGAGGATAATTTTTCTCCATATGTCAAGGAAAAGATTTGCTTAATGAACTTGATTAGGAGAAAAGGAACTTATGTGTAGGTTATGTTTATAAAATGAGCTGGATTTTGTACTGTGATTTAGACAATTGTCCTCATCTCTAATTGGAAACAGATTTTTTTTTTTTTTTTTTAAATTAGTTATTGAAGAAACAAACTGATTTCTGAATTGTTTTAACATTCTAAAAAATCCATTTAGTTGAACCATTGTATGAAAATGCAGGGAAGTTTTGTATTGGGCACAACTGTAACTTATTGCTTTTGTTTTCTTCTTTAGCGGAGAGATTGCAGTTCGTGCCTCTCCAAGGGCTGCTTATGTGCTAATATTTCCAAATTAATAAAATGTTCTATTTATTTATCAAAAAAAAAAAAGAAAATGCAGGTAAGCCCAAGCAGAAAAATTGAAATGATTTCACACTTGTCTCCAAAGTTCTCACTTGATATTTGTTTTGTTGTACTTTCTAAAATTGTATATTTTTTTTCAAGCATCCTTATAATGCTTTACTGCTTTACCAGATTTTCATACTTGTTCTGTTGCTTTTTTATGGTTACTGATCTTCTGTGATTTCTTCCAAGACCTCAAGCTTAAAACAGGTATTACTGTACCAGCTGGCACAATTCTGGTTGTCCCTGTCCAATTAGTGCAGATAGATGATTCTTGTTGGGGAAGTGATGCTAGCCAGTTTAATCCATATCGTTTCTTGTCCAAGGTGGTGAAGACTGGTGATTCAATGCCTAAAATGCCATGCACAGGTCTTGAACTTGCATCCTGGCAAGTTAGAATTAATTTAGCATTATGAAATTACAGAAAATAAAAGAAAGAAAAAAAAGAAAAGAAAATATTGCTTTTATTACCTCATTTTTCAGTAAGAGTTCTCATGCTCGGTATTTGAAGTATAGGCTCAAACTGATTCTATTGATTTGCTTAAGCTACGCATTACTTAAAGTAAATTTCAATGCCCATGTTATGTTTCACCTTCCAATGTATGTGTATACAAGGGCAGAGGCCTGAGTCTGGGAGCATGGCTCCCCCATTAAAACTTTGGAAGTCTCTACAAATATGTTAATTGTAAGCTATGTATTACTTAAACCACAATGCCAGAGGTTGGGGAGCATGTCCCCTCACCAAAATTTTGGAAGTCTCTACTAATATGTTAATTAACTTATATAATGGCCCCATAACACTGGGTGAATAAGGTGGCAACTGGCAACCTTCTTTCTTCTCATGATTATGATCTTCTGTAGTCTCACAGCAGAAGCTTTAACTGCCATTATTGGGTTGTGGCTATCATAGCTATAAAACATGATCATGAAAGTTAACATGTTCCATTTATGGCTAATCTTGTTTTCATCTGCAGGAGCTGCTAAGGATCTTGCTGGTGCAGGAGATGGCTCGTTTGTTGTAAATGACCCAAATGCAAATGAAGCATTTCTTCCTTTTGGTTCTGGTGCACGTGTTTGTGTTGGACAGAAATTAGCAATCCGTGGAATTTCAACATTATTTACATCTCTGCTTGAACAATATGAGGTTATGCTCCTCACTTGATTGTTACTTTTTATTTATTTCTCCAATTTGTTTTCTTGTCACAATTCCATTCATCACCCAGTTACCACACTTTTTATTGAAGTTCACTTATTTTTATATGAGAGATTCTCTAAATGCAGTTTTTGATTTTTGGAAAAACATATCTAACTCATGCTGTTTATTTTAAGGTCATTATGTTTTAAGATAATTGAAAGAAAGAATTAGTTCAGGAAGCAAAATGCAGGAGTATGTCCAAGGAGTAGATTGTGCATTTTAGGCTATGTCAACATAATGGCTTGCTGGCCCATTGACTAGGGATGCAAATGGACCGGATTGGATTCGAATCAGGGTATATTCGAATCCGATCCAACACTGTTCATGTCGGATCCGATCCGATCGGATATGACTTGATCCGACTTGTTTTCTTTAAAACATAATAAATTATTAAAAGAAAAATAAAACATACCAATTTAAATAAAGAAAAAACAAAAAATACAAGTATTTTTAATTATTTTGATCATATATATACATGCTTTTTATAAAAAATAAATAATAAACAAATTTATAAAAGTAAAATATAAATAATATATTTATAAATAAATAAATAACATATATATATATGTACTATATATATATTTATAAATATATAACACATCGGATCGGATCTCCTTGGATCGGATAGGGAGGGGGATTCGAGTCCGGTCCGAAGATCCGACCAGGGGGTGATCCGAATTCGACCAAATAGGATTGGATCGGATCATGATTCGATCCATTTGCACCCCTACCATTGACACTGGGTTTTCTTGTATAGGTCAATTTGTGAGAACAGTCTAAAGGGTAGGGCTGTTCAAAGAATGTCAAAAACCGACCAGATCGGCCTGACTCGATTTGTTGTGGTCGGTTTTGGTTTAGAAATATGCATAACCCGACTGATCGGTTCGGTTACAGGTTATAATTTTGTAAACCAAAGTAAACTGACCTGAACCGACCATATGAATGATGCTCTCATGTCCCAGTTCCATCTTTTCAAACCTGCTTCAAAGAAAGAGGCCCAATTCTTATTTGTCCCCAAATTGATGTTCTCTCTGCAAGGTTGATGGGGAAACTGGCCACCACCTTGTGGTTACTTGCTTGTTTGCTAAATCTATTTGGGAGTGGGTTTTCTCCCTTTTTAGGTGTAATTGGAACCCCCCTTTGAATTTGAACAGTTTATTCTCTTCGTCCTTTTTCAGTTGGCCACAGAAAAGAAGGGAGGATTATGTGGAGATGCATCAGGGCAGCAGTTTGTTGGTCCTTATGGGAAGAAAGGAACTCTTGTATATTTTGAGACAAGGAAAGAACAGCTGAGAGCTTAACAGATTTGATACAACTAAGGGTGGTTCACTGGCTAAAATCATTGGACCTTTTTACAGACTTTTCCATGACTGACTTGCTGAGAAATTGGAAAGAGATAGCAAACTCTGCTCAAGTTAAGAGGATTTCTAGCCCCATGTGGACTTCCCCACCCTCTGGATTCATACAACTGAACTTTGATGGGAATAGTTTTGGAAATCCAAGGCTGTCTGGGATTGGGGTTGTCTTTAGGAATGAGGAAGGGTCTATTCTGGCCTTGTATTCAGGCCCAATTGGAGAAGGGGACTCCTTCAGGGCTGAGATCTTTGCGGTTTTTGAAGGAATCCAAAGAGCAAGGCATTTGAACATTAGAAGATTGGTCCTTGAAGGTGATTTGGAGGTGGTGGTTAGATGGCTAAAGGAAGACAATAGTACCGTATGGAGATATAGCAATGAAAGGAAGAAGTTCAAATGGTTTTCTAGGGACATTGAGGTGAAGTACAGCTGGGTGAAAAGAAATGCCAACTCATTTACCGATGGGTTAGCTAAGCAAGAGGTGAATAGGGTGTCTCTGTTTTGGACTAATTTCTAATTCTCTTTTTTGTAATTCGTTGATGGGGAGTTAAGTCATTTTACCTCCCCTATATCTTGTTATTGCTTCCATCTATTTTAACGAAGGTGATTGTTATTGATAAAAAAAAGACAGAAAAGACAAAAGTCTTTTTATTAGCTAACATGAAAGAGCGTGGAAGTATGAAGTCAAATCTGAAATCTTAGGCCTAGCCCTCGGGTATGGTACGACAAGTCTGAACTTTTTAATGCTAATTGGACAGTAATAACTTGATGGATTGACTCTACATCTATTATGTATTATTTTACTACTTTTTCTTCTTCTATTACATCTAATATGTTTTATTTTTTTACTACTTTTTCTTATATTACTGTGTTTTGAATTAAGTTGATTTGTATATGAAATGACCAGAAACAAATAAAATTTCTTGGGTTATGGGCTTAAGTTCTATCAATAACAATAAGAGGAGGTAGGAGGTCTCACTTCGGTTGAACCGAACAAACTGACCAACCGATAGTTTCTATTGCAAGTCGGTTTTTTTATTTCTTTCAGTCGGTTTCAATTGATTTAGTAGTCAACCCGATATAGTTGGTTTGGTTGACAAAAATATGTACAACCGAACCGAACCGACCCGTGTACAACCCTACTAAAAGGAAGAAAGTTTTCTTTGCTTCTCATTCTTTTATTTTCCTGTTAACTTCTTTTTTTTTTTTTAATTTTTTCATGATGAGGATAGCATGTGTGTTTCTGATGTTGAGCAAGTTGTGGCAGGGATAGAAGTTTATTAGTAATCTTTGTTTTCAATGGGGATGGAGATGATGACATGCATGTTTTAGATGTTATTCTGAGCTCCTAAAACTCTGCATTATTTTTTCCAATAAAAATATATAGACAGTATATTTCAACTCTCTTTTGCCATAAGAAATATATGTAAAAATTAGAAACTCCTGAGGGTTATGAACCTGGGAATAACTTAAGAAACTAAAAGTAATAGAACTTGATCAGCATATTGGATAGGGTACTTAGAACCGCATCTGTGTCCCAGATTGTTAGAATCACAGGGTCTTATTGATATGTCTGGTAACGGTGTCCACATCAGTGCCTGTATCGAGTTCGGATATCTCACATGATGCAGTGGCCAAAAGAGATTGCATATAGGCACCTGGATTCAACATGAAGCAGTTCTATTTACAAAACTGGATAGGGATCGGGAAGGAGTTGGAAGAAGTTGAGATATTAGCTAAAGAGGACATGGTCATAATGGAGAGGAGAGGGTCGTAATAATGGTTCAATTCATATAGTTGCCTGAGAATAATGTGCCTAGTAGTAGGAAAAGCCAAAAAGCTTCTAAAGGAAGGGAGAGGAATAGAAGAGGATGGTAAAGCAGAAGAATAGAGGCTTTTGCCAGCTGCTTTTTGGTTGGTTTAATGTTCTCTTGAATGTTTCCCACTGTCTTCCCTTTTGGCAGTTGGCTGCCTCTATTGGGGGCAAGAAGTGTTTCTATTGCAGGCAGCTTTTTATAATCCCATTGGTAGTCTACTGGGCTCATGCCTAAGGCCCCATTATGAGGCTGGGATAGGCCTGGGCAATATCAACTGAAGTCCAGGCCAGTTTAAGTTAGAAACTTAGAATGCATTTGGCATGGGGCTGGGACATTGCAAACCTATGCTTAGAAAAAGGAAAGAATCACCTAGCATTTATTTATTTATTTTTAATGAGTCACCTAGCTTTTATATTTAAATTGATATATATATATATATATATATATATATTAGCAGAATGCTTCTTTTTATATGTAATGAGATCAAAGAGATTTTATTAAAAATTTGCGAGAAAAGGTGCAATAAATAAAGACAAAAGCATAGAAACAAAAACCTCATGCCTGACAGCAGGCAATCCAGTACTTCAATATACCCCAAACCAGTATTGTTATCTAGTTAGGACGCTATGAATCACATTGTGAATAACTTTTTCCAACCCCATTTCTAAGGAAACAACTAGATCATTTGTAGATTTCCTAACCAAGTTGAATGAAATGTTCTCCTTGGCTGCCAGATCTCTAGCCTCTGGCATGAAGTTTCTATGTTAATAATATGTTCTTATTACTTAATAGCTATTTTTCATGCAAGTAGCACATGTATACGTATCTATATGTGCACATTTGTTGTGTCTCTTTGCAGGTTCTAATGTCACTACAGTAAACAGAAAATTTATCTATAAAATAATAAAAAAGAATAGAACATTCAACAGAGAACATTTTACCTTGAAAATTTGGGGTTATGATACAATTCCAATGAAAATGCTTGAGAAATAGGGAAAGGCAGAAAAGAGTGGCATTTACTTGAGTGGGCTCTTTTGAATTATAGTGGGTACAGTTTGCACAATCTTGTTACATATGATAAATGATCAAACCTGATTCTCTGCTTATCCATTATTGTTCTCAACATTTGGTTTACAGAAGAAAAAATGGATAGATTACAAAATTATTTGTAAAGTAGGAAGTGTAGTTCCTAATTGCTCTGTATTCACATCTTGGTTTGTAGGTACGACTTCAGCCAGGTACAGAAAATGACCCAAAGCCAACAATGAACAATTGTGTTCTTCAGCTTCTTCCTAGTCCAAAGATCATCTTTGTGAGAAGAACCAAAGTGAGGAAGTGAGGAGAGAAGACATCCGTACGGAAATAACTCTCTCATTTCCTTTTTTTACTGGTACAGCCAGGATATGTAGTGGACAGGCATCTTGTTTTCACTCTTTTTAGTGGAGAAAGGGAGAATGTTTCATCTCTATGTTTTTTATTCATGTTTTTTCCTTCCTGTTTTTAATGGCTCCAGTGCTGTTTAGTCATGATTTTCATGTTCTTTGAAGCACTTGAGAGCTGTTACTGCAGAGGAGCTGTGTTAATTCCTCCTTTATCTTTGTTGTAACTGTTTTTTTCTCCCAAGGGAGTTTATGTAATTTTGTGGTGCTCATCAAGACAAGTAGACAATTGTATTGTGTTATTGATATCAAGTGCTGTATGCTATTGTAGTGTTGTTAGTCTTCTACATGTTTATACTTGCCCTTACCCCTCGCATCACATGGCTGTCCAAATCTGAAGATAACATAACAGTTGGGGGCAAATAGAAGAGTGGGAGGCAAATAGAAAACGACTTGGATGGAAGTAATAAGAAATGATTAAAATGACATTGGCGAGTAGCAAATGATTTAAATACCCATAATTTAACAAATGATATTGGCGAGTAGCAAAACACCCCCCATATAGTTAAGACAAGGCTTAGATGATGATTTTACAGTTATTTCACCTCAGCTCCTTCTGCATTCTCTTTTATCGACCTCCTCAAAATATTGTTTTGTTTTAAAATAGGAAGGAATTAATTGGTTCCTGTTTGGATTTGTGTAGCCAACGATTTGTATCTATAGGTCCCATGGGCCATGACCAACTCATCCACACCCCTTCTCTTGAGTCCACTTAATGCTCCTTTTCCAAGATGGAGAATAAAGTAATAAATCTATTCCTTGCACTTTGGAGAAGAACTTTTGCTGATTTCAAAAGGATTGGAAGTTTGTCACCAATTATCCTCTGAATTTCATTTACACAGTTGGCTTGTTAACAAACCATAAGCCCAGACAACTCTGTTGAACAAACAGAACCCTTTCTGGGTGATAAGTTGCAGAAGAAAATGTGGACTAAGAAGATAATTTGGGATAATTTGGAAGGTTGGGCCATGAGTCCACCGAATAACGTTTTATGCCCTGTTGAACCTCAAAACCCGGTCTAGCTGCAGGGCTGCATGTTACTAAAATAACAGTAATACTAAACCCAGGTTGGCTTAGGACTTACAACAAACATGAAAAGTCGGATCGAGTTGGACTAACAACAAACAGTAAGTCTGGTACAAACAAAATACCTTTTTATCTAAACATGTGCTTTTAATTAGATTATTTCTTTCAATAAACAGATGTGTTAGTTACAAGCAATTGGTAGGGTTAGCTCCATCTATCAGGTACAATGTAATAAGGGCACTCCGTTATTGGAATTTCACATGTCAGATTCCATGTCATTTTCATGACTGAGCACATGCAGACACTCCCATTACTAGCCTTAGGAACAGGGGTGCATACTGTCACTACAAACAAATACACTTGTAGCGGCAGTTGAAGAAGTGGCTATAGACCGGCTGCCGCTGATAATACTAATATATAGCGGCAGTTGTTTACAACTGCAGCTACAAGGGTGGCACCAAAAATGAATTAGTTCTCCTTCTCTCCTCCCCCGCATAAATCTTTTTCTCCTGCTCTCTCTGTGTCTCACCCTCTCTCTCTCTCTCTCTCTCTCCAACTTTCTCACAACCGGAGAACGACCTCGGTCCGGATTTTCTCACAACCGAACGGGAACCAGAGGGCGATCTCGATCTCGACTTTCTCACAACCGGAGAACAACCCCGGTCCGCATTTTGTCACAACCGGATGGTAACCAGAGGGCGACCTCGTTCTCGGCCTTCTCACCGCCAGATACACAACCAAATATCGACATTAACAGGTGAGACTCTCTCTTTCCCTCTCTGTGTTTATTTTAGATGCTTCTGGAACTTATTCAGCTGAATGTTAGTGATTTCTTAACTTTTGTAGGTTCAGATCCTTTTGTTTGTTTATATTGATTCTTTCTAGTTAATATATTTGATGATAGCTAAGTCGAAAGTAGGTATGAAACATACATTGGCAGTAATCACATTTGATGATCTAACAAGCTTCTAGTGAATTTGAATCAMAACCCTAACAATGATCTTCTTTCAYAGTTTTATTTTCTCCAAGTGTTAAATTTGAGGTGATCGATTGTCCTCCAGATTTCAATAATAATAGTACATGTAGAATTGGAGTTCTTTATTTCTTATGATTTTACGGCACAGAGAGTAACCACCATGTAAATGTCATCATTTTAAGGAGCAATTGCAGTTCCTTATATTATATACCCAAAACATTTTGGAGTTGGAACATACGTATACTAGGTTTCCAACAAGAAGGTAACACCAAAAAGGTGCTCACTCTAGAAGGCAGAGCTCTAGTCTCTCTAATATAATCCCAGACTTCAGAACTGAACTATTTAACTAGGACAATGCATCTCTCTAACACTAAAAGGAAGTGTCTGACATGACTTCAGAAAACCTGAAAGGCGGAYATATTGGTATAGTTATTTCAAATAATACATGTTTCTCAAAAAATTTGTCAATGGACAGAGAGCGCACAAGCAACTTGGAAATACAGATTCACTTTATGGGAATCTTTGGTAGAAGAGTTGAATGTCATATTTCATTGGGTTGCTAGAAGTGCTTATGGTATGGTTGAGGGTTTAACAAGGCAAGGGGTAAATAGAACAGAAATGTATTGGGTGTTGTTTTCAGGGGAACCTGATGCAAGACTTTATTTTGGGTAGACAGCATGTGCTGGTCTACAAGCCTTCTCTTGTTAACTTGCATACAATGTTTAAATTCTAATAAAATTTTTTATAGTTACTGATAAAAAAAGTTAATGGGCATAGCTCTAGTCTCTCTCTCTCTCTCCAATGTCTAATCACTAACAACTCAGCTTTTGTGGAGTCACCATGCTCAATGGACCCTGAAAAAAATAACTAAGGTGGTGCTAAAACTGTCTCTTATGGTTCCTCATACACCTGAACGTCCCA